ACAGTGTCAATTGGAGTAGTTTTGCTGTCCTAAAAATCCTGTGATCTCCACCTACTCATTTCTCCTTCACCTCTAATCCCTAGATACCATTGATCTTCTGACCATCTCCATAGTTGAATTTGTTTCTCCTGAATGTCATATAGTTGGAATCAAACAATTAGTAATATCCATTTACGTTTCCTTTGTGACTTTTTTTTGTTTTCTGGAGAGGATTTTGCTATAGGTATTTGCTATAGGTATTTGGCCATCCCCCCACGGGGGAATGGCCACACCACACTCCCTTCTCCTCCATTCTCCTCTTGGGATTTTTGGGCACGCACGCACACATGCCCAGCCTGAGTTTTAAGCCACCGGGTCCAGGACTCAAACCGTGGTTGACTATGTGGGAGTCCAGCGACATAGCCATTATGCTAACTACTGGTCCCCCCCTGTGACTTTTTATGGTATAACATTTCATTCTTTATAGAGCTGACTAATATTCCATTGTCTGGATATATCACCATTTATCTATCCAACCATCTTCTGAAGGACATCTTGGTTACTTCCAAATTTTGGCAATTATGAATAAAGCTGCTATAAATATCCATGTGTGGGTCTTTGTGTGGGCATAAGTCTTTCAGCCCCTTGGATAAGTCCCAAGTAGTGCAAATGCTGGATTGTGTGGTAAGAGTAGATTTGTTTTTTTGAGAAACCACCAGCTGTCTTCTAAAATGGCTTCGCCATTTTACATTCCCATCAGCAATGAATGTGAATTCCTGCCAGCATTCGATTTTGGCCATTCTATAGGCATGTAGAGATACCTCATTGTAGTTTTAATTTGCATTTCCCTGATGACACATGATGTGTCATGCCTTTACTTTTCAAGTCCTTACTTGCCATCTGTATCTTTTTTGGTGAGGTATCTATCATGGTCTTTTACCCATTTTTAAATTGAGTTGTTTGTTTGTTTGTCTATAAGAGAGATTTTTGCTATAGGGTACACGTACTCACTGGAGAGACAGAGAGATAGAAAGTGAGAACTTACCCCACCCCACAGGGGGAAAGGCCATGCTGCAATCCCTTCTACTCCATTCTCCTCTCATGACCTTGGGCATGCATGCACATGCACCCGGCGTGAGTTTCAAGTCACCGGGTCTGGGATTCAAACCACTGTTGAGTATGTAGGAGTCCCACAATGTAATCATTATGTCATCTTCTGGTCCCAAATTATTAATTTTTTTTTCATTGTTGTGTTTTAAGAGCTCTTTGTTGTATTAGTTTGATTGGCTGCTATAGCAAAATGTCATAAACTGGGTGACTTATAAACAACCGAAATAAAATTTTCAAAGTTCTGGAGTCTACAAAGTTCAAAATCAAGGAGCCATCATATTTGGTGTCTGATGAAGACCCACTTCTTAGTTCATAGACAGCTGTTGTCTCATAGTGTCCTCATACAGCAGAAGGAATGAGGGAGCTCTCTATGGCGTTTTTATAAAGGGCACTAATTCAATTAATCAGGACTTCACTTTTATGACCTCATCACTTTCCAAAGGTTCCATCTCCAAATGCCATCACATTGGGAATTAGGTTTCAACATATGAATTTTGAGGGGACATAAACGTTTAGTCTATAGCTTTGTAGTAAATTACAGTCTTTTATTAGCTATGTCTTTTGAAAATATTTTCCCCCAGTTTGTGACTTGTTTTTTTAGTTTCTTGACAGTATACAGAGCAGAAAATTTTAAGCGGTTATAGACCTGGTGAGACTGTGTCATTTATACTGGGTTTCTTATATACTACCATAAACTTCTAAATTAGTTAATTTTCTTTTTCTTTTCTTTCTTTCTTTCTTTTTGAGACAGATTTTTGCTATAGGGCATGTGTACTCACTGAAGAGACAGAGAGAGACAAAGAGACAGAAAGTGAGAAATCACCCCCCCTCTGGCCCCGGGACATGACCATACCACAATCCCCTCTCCTCCATTCTCCTCTCGGGATTTTGGGCATGCATGCACACATTCCTGGTGTGAGTTTCAAGTCACCAGGTCTGGAACTTGAACATGGTGCCTTAGTCACCATGCCAACTGCTGGTCCCTTAATTTTCTAGATGTAAGTTCAATTAAATTTATTAAAAGTCTTTCAAATAATCAATCTCTAAAATCAGTGGTTCTCATCTGGGAACACTCTCCCCCTAGAGGATACTTGGCAATGCCTGGAAATGTTCTCAGTTTTCATAACTGAGCTGGGGATACTAGTGGCATTTAGTACATAGAGACCAGGGATGCTGCTCAACATCCTACAATGCGACAGGATAGTTCCTAATGAAAACACTTTAGTTCCAAATGTCAACAATGCCAGGACTGACAAACTGTATTAGATACAGGAATTCTACTTTAGGAATTTATCCAAATACAATAGTTTGCAGGTACTTAAAGATTCACTCTTTAATCTTTCTGGGAGAACAATAGGTCAGTTACTAGTAAAAATTAAAATGTATGTGGCCCTTGATTTTTTTATAGATATTGATCATAGAAACACATGCACATGTACACAAAATGACACATACACAGATGCTCTTTCTTTATTTTTTAATTGCCAGAGGATATGTGCAATCACCAGAGAGAGGCAAGAGACTGAGAGAGAGAGAGGGAGGAAGAAAGCACCCTCCAGTGGGATTTGATCACTGGGCAATTTCTTCTATTCCATTTTTTCTTCTGTTGGGATTTGAAGCATGCAAGCATGTGCATCTGGGGTATTTTTCAAACCTCCAGGGCTGGGACTCAGATTGTGGTCAACCATGTGGGATCTGCCTCTCTTAACCAATAGGTTATGGGGCTGGCCCCAGATATTTTTTAAAGGCATTATTATTACTATCATTTTATAGAAATTCTTGCTATAAGGCATGTGTGTTCATCAGGGAGACAGAGACAGAAAATGAGAAATCACCCTGCAGGGGGGATGACCACACAACAATCCCATCTCCTTCATTCTGTCAGGGCTTTAAGCACTCATGCACACATGCATGGCGTGAGTTTCAAGCCCTTGAGTCTGGGACTCAAACTGCAATTGACCATTTGGGAGTACAGTGTCTTAACCACTATACCACCTGCTAGTCCCTAAGGCATTATTTTAAAGAGTGACATTTTGAAAGTAACCTAAATGTCAAACAATAGAGTAATAGTTAATGAACATGCATGCTCTGTGCAGCATAGTTTGTAACTATCCATTCTCCTACTACCCTTTTCCTATGATCCTGTCCCCACTTTATGTGCTCTCTTCACTGTAGATAGGCTGGGTAGACAAAACATTCCTATTATCCTGTCATTTCCCAGTTTGGAAGCCAGGAAAGACTCATCTTTACTCTCCTATACCTTGATTGAGTCAAGAAGAAATGACGTGACCCAAGTTTGATCGATCAGATGAGACTTTAAATCTTGAATCAAGGCAGAGTTAGAGAGATCACAGATTAAATCCTAGGATGGTGACAGTTGTAGGTGTCTATGACAGATGGGAGCTGCCCATTAGCCTCACAGTTCTTGCTAAGTGACAGCATTAAACCTCTATTATTTGGTCCACCAGAAAGACCTTGGGTTCTGTTCTTTAAAACCCGTAGGAGGCCCTAGCAGCAATCCAATACGCGCATACATTTTTTAGTTTCTAAGTATCCTAAATGATAAGTTAGATATTTATCTGCAGTAGTTTCAAAGAATGCTTAACAGGTCGCGTAGTAAGTGGAAAATCAAATTCCAGAACATTCAATCACTTAAGCAATGTTTATTGAGCTTTTACTATTTACTAATTTCTGTACTCTGAACAAGACAGCCTGGTTTCTGCTTTCATGGACCATTATTTAAAATAATAAAATATTGAAAATAAATGAGCCATCTAATGGTAGTGGAATGATAAATATTGTTTATTGTGGAACATGTATTAAATTGAATAATTTATAGCCATTAAAAATAATGATTTTTACTGACAGTAAATATGCTACATATACTATACAGTATTAAATGAAATAATTTAAAATTATTAACGTATACATATATATTTTTTTTTTTGGGGGGGAGAGGTTTTTGCTATAGAGCATGTGCACTCACCAGAATGACAGAGAGAGACAGAGAGACAGAAAGTGAGAAATCATCCCCCAGGGGGGATGGCTGTGCTGCAATCCCTTCTCGTCCATTCACCTCTTGGAATCTTGGGCACGCACGCACACGCGCCCAACATGAGTTTAAGCCACCAGGTCTGGGACTCGAACTGAGGTAGACTACATGCAAGTCCAGCGACATAGCCATTATGCCAACTGCTGGTCCCAAAATTAGTTATATATAATATATAGATACATAATCACTATATATAATAAATATAATAGCAAAAGAAAGAATTAAACATTTATATACATACACACACAGAATGAAACTTTTATTTTAAAAGTTGCATGTGACCAAAAAGAGGTATACTAAAATACTAATAGAATTTATTTCTGAATAGTAGAATATAATATATGATTTTGGGGGGGTATTTTCTAAATTTTGGCAATCTGCATATATTGTTTTATCTTTATAAAATGTGTCACTTACAATCATGAAATCATTTAATATAAGTAGTTATCAGGTCATTTAAAAACTTTAAATTCCATTTTATACTTACATTATTTTTGAAATGTTCCCTTATAAGGCTATACTAGCAATATAAGCACACGCACACACACACACACACACACAAACACACACATAAAAATTCTTCATCTTGCTTTAATACATTCCAAACCCCTAGAGTCCAGTCAGAAGTGTTTGGTCTAAGTTATTCTGAATTTTCCTTTGCTATACTCAAATCTACTAAAAGTTATAGAAGGGACTGATATGTGTAGTTGGGCAGATTTATCTAGCAATACCAGGTTGGGAGGGGATAGCAAAGTTCTGGCTGAGACAGGTGGGACAATATCTGTCTCAAATTTTGTGTAAGTATAATCAAGACCGAATGCATGAAGCTTCTAACACGATTTTTTTCCTTTGGGGACAGGCAAGGTAGGGCCTCCTCTTGACATAATGCTGGGTGCACTGAACTGTACAGCTTTCAGCATCCAGTGGAAAATGCCAAGGCATCCTGGGAGCCCCATCATTGGGTACACTGTGAGTACATGGGCATGGGGGATCTACAATGGGTGTGTTGGGGTTACCAAGTGTCCTTTCTATTCTTGCTCCTCCTATATATGGCTTCCTTATATCAGTCCTCTCATATTAAAAATTGCCCGTTCTTCTTCTGTGAAACCTAGAAAAAGAGATTCCCTTTCAAGGACACTTTAAGAACCCAAACATCACATCTACATTAATCAACTAGGATCTCTCCATGTCTTTCTCTGTTCAGTGTTTGGAAAATATAAAGAAAGTATAAATTACCTATACTCAGATTTAGAGAATAATGAAGAAACATAGGAAATAAAATAGAATCACTTTTGTCAATGAGTGAAAAATAATGTAAAATCTAAATGAAAATCAGGGAGTGGACAGGCAAAGTGCAGGAAGAAAGAGAGAATGCGTTCTTTTCATTCAGAGGCTACAAATTGGGCTGATTTCTGTTCACCAGAATATTTTCTTTGAATACTATTTATAGAAATTTGTCAACTTTTGAAAATCAAGACATTTAAGACAAATATTTGGGTTCTGAAATATCCAGGATATCAGGAATGCTGGTCACATTTGACCCACTTTCTGGTAGGGCACCAAGCCCATTGAAGCTAAACTGCCCATCTGAAATGGAAGCTAAACACCCCCTGACTTGAGGCCCACCACTCCTTACTACCTCTGTTTTTCCAAAGGACAGCAGCTATTGTTCAGTCCTTGTCCTATTGTCTTCTTAAAGTAGAAAAATGTATTTCTGACTTCATGTTGTATTAGAAGAGGGACAATGAAAGATTACCTAAGAGGGTCATGTTTTGGAGAAAAATAAGAGTGGCCAGACCCACCTCTTTATTCTACTTCACCGATTAGGTATCTTCCCCCTGGCCTCTGCAGGCTTTGGAGTCTGAGATTTCTCCAGGTATGTGTGATGCTTGTTCCCATGGAATTAGCGCATGTGAAGGCAGACAATGTAGCTCAGAATCCATTGCTTTTGGGGGGTGTGATTCAAACCTTTGATCCTAGAGAAGTGCTGTCTGTCCTCACCAGGTGTCTGCATCTTTCCAAGGTCTTCTACTCAGAGCTTGGTGCAGATAAATCCTTGCAGGAGCAGTCGCACAGTGTGCCTCTCAGCCAGGACACCCCAGCTACTGTGAGTATCTCCATCTTGGCAACCCCATGCAAAGCATGCATGTGCTTGCCATTTCAGGGATTTTTCAGGCAGGTTTCCAATTTGATGTGTGTGCTGCATGTAGGTAATAATAATAACAGATGCTTATATAATTTTTTCAGAACTCCCAAAGGTTTTCTAGGCATATTATCCCTATAATGTGCCAGCTATATCTCCAGGAAGGTGGGCATCTGATAAAAGTTCAGGAAGAAAGAGTAAGTCCTGGTGTAAATGCTTCAATCCTGGACTCAACCCTATTTTATCATATGAGAAAATAGCCACCTTACTGCTGTTTTCTCCTCCTTATTTTTTCCTTAAGGTTCGATTCTTTTTTTTTTTTTTTGGAAAGATCCTTGCACAGCTTTACAAATAAATAAGACACCAACTGCCTGGAGATACAGTGCTGAAGAAACTAGTGTAATTTAAAATGTATATTCAAGTGGTCCAAGTTGTTTGTTTTTCTTTTCAAGCCCAGCACTCTTCTTTCCACTTACCTGCTGTTGGCTTTGCATCTCTACCGTTTCGGTTTCCTGTAAAGGTCTTTCTGGGTGAATTTTTTGCCTTTGGCATCTTCTATTTTCTTGTCTTTGACTTTCCTCCTCCTTCTCCATTCAACTACTGTCGACTCAGGGCTAGAGGCTTCTGAACTTTGTGTGAGGAGTTAGCTCTAGTACCCATAGTCCTGTTATAATGTGGCTGATGGTGGATGTAATGTTCACAGCTCCTAATTTAGTAAGTGCCTGCTCAGTGCAACACATAGTTTCAAGCCTATTTGTCATCCATAGCAAGAAGCTATCCCTTATTGAGCATCTGTTACCTGCTAGGCACAATCTCTGATGTTTCATGTTTGTTTTCCCATTTTATCTTTACTACTATGACCTCATTTTACTGACGAGGATTCTGAGATTCAGAAAGATAAAGTAACTTTTTCAAACCATAATAAGTAATAGCATCAACTATAAACCCATTACGGACTGACATCTGAGCTCCTTCTTGCTAGCTTTACTAAAGTTCTTTTACTCAAAAAAAAAAAAAAAAAGAAAAGAAAAAGAAAACAAAAGATGCACATTTTTAGCTAGTTTGTATTTTGCATGATATGCTTTTAATCTCAAAATAACCTTTTGTGTATACACCCTTCAGCCCCAACCTCTGTGATTTACTCTATTCTAAAAGGGGGAGATGAGCTTGGCCCCATCCAAGAAACCACAAGTTGAGGTTCCCACAGCCCTGGAACTTTCACAAGCCTATTGACACCACTGAGGGACTGCATTGTCCCCAGCAATGTCTCCTGCCACCAACCTCTTGTCCTGCAGGGCTTGCTGTTCTGCCTGGAACACAGTCCAGAGATTTAGTGCGCAGTGAAGGTAACAGATATCTGGAAGCATGGATGATACCACTGAAATTGAGATTCTGCCCATTCCATGTAAGGTGGACTGAAAACTGGCATCTCTTTGAAGGTCACTGCAGTGTAAACCTACAACAGGGCAGGGGGGGAGGCCAGCACCCTGGGCTTCCAGACCTGCTTTGTCTACTTAACTGATGAATAAATTTGGCCAAAATCATTTAATCTGTCTACGTTTCAACTCTTCCCCATGAGAGGGATAGTATAATTACACAATTATGAGGACCAAATAAATTCACGTGTGTATAAGCCTTTGGTAAGATGTAGAAAACCATACTGATGTTGGCCATTGTTCTTGCTGATTTTATGTTAAATATGTCCCCTCAATTGTTTACACTGAAGCATTAGTATGCTATCAGATTCTAGCACTGGATTCTCTTGTCGATTTCCACAACCCTCTATAGTGGCCATTATATGCCCAGCACAAGATAATATATAGTTTCAGTTTGAGTGCTGCATTTAGTCTTGTTCAGAACATCCCATTCACTAATAAAACAATTAAGGGAAAAACATAAGGTCAGACATTCTTAATGTGTCATTAAGAGACAGGATTTGAAAAGACAGAGATTAGTGTGTGATCAAGTGGTTAAGAGGTAAAACTTGGGACTGAGAATTGAAACAGTGAACTTTCTGGAAAGACAGCCTTGGGGGTGGGAGGGCGACATTCCAACTGGAGGGAATGTCTTGAATCCAGGGAATGAGCATATGTGTGTACGTATGTGCCTTTATACATGTGTTTGGGTGGAAAAGAAAAAGAAAACAAAAGATGCACATTTTTAGCTAGTTTGTATTTTGCATGATATGCTTTTAATCTCAAAATAACCTTTTGTGTATACACCCTTCAGCCCCAACCTCTGTGATTTACTCTATTCTAAAAGGGGGAGATGAGCTTGGCCCCATCCAAGAAACCACAAGTTGAGGTTCCCACAGCCCTGGAACTTTCACAAGCCTATTGACACCACTGAGGGACTGCATTGTCCCCAGCAATGTCTCCTGCCACCAACCTCTTGTCCTGCAGGGCTTGCTGTTCTGCCTGGAACACAGTCCAGAGATTTAGTGCGCAGTGAAGGTAACAGATATCTGGAAGCATGGATGATACCACTGAAATTGAGATTCTGCCCATTCCATGTAAGGTGGACTGAAAACTGGCATCTCTTTGAAGGTCACTGCAGTGTAAACCTACAACAGGGCAGGGGGGGAGGCCAGCACCCTGGGCTTCCAGACCTGCTTTGTCTACTTAACTGATGAATAAATTTGGCCAAAATCATTTAATCTGTCTACGTTTCAACTCTTCCCCATGAGAGGGATAGTATAATTACACAATTATGAGGACCAAATAAATTCACGTGTGTATAAGCCTTTGGTAAGATGTAGAAAACCATACTGATGTTGGCCATTGTTCTTGCTGATTTTATGTTAAATATGTCCCCTCAATTGTTTACACTGAAGCATTAGTATGCTATCAGATTCTAGCACTGGATTCTCTTGTCGATTTCCACAACCCTCTATAGTGGCCATTATATGCCCAGCACAAGATAATATATAGTTTCAGTTTGAGTGCTGCATTTAGTCTTGTTCAGAACATCCCATTCACTAATAAAACAATTAAGGGAAAAACATAAGGTCAGACATTCTTAATGTGTCATTAAGAGACAGGATTTGAAAAGACAGAGATTAGTGTGTGATCAAGTGGTTAAGAGGTAAAACTTGGGACTGAGAATTGAAACAGTGAACTTTCTGGAAAGACAGCCTTGGGGGTGGGAGGGCGACATTCCAACTGGAGGGAATGTCTTGAATCCAGGGAATGAGCATATGTGTGTACGTATGTGCCTTTATACATGTGTTTGGGTGAGTAGAGTTCCAGGATGTACAGATGGAGAGAAGTAATGAGGAAGCATAAAGACAAAGAATCAGCCAGAGAGGAGAGAGCAATCTGGGTTAGCAGGATGGTTCTGGATTCAAATGACTTGGAGTCAGATTTCTGTGTTACACCAAACCAGCTGGATAATCTCACTGGGTCTCAGTTTCCTTATCACCAAAACAAGAATTCGAATACAAGCTACACCCTAGGTAGTGGTATCTGTGGTTCTCAAACTGTGTGCTGGGGTGTGCAGCAAGCTCACAGGTGCATGGCAGCATATTTAAATTTTTGGAGGAAAATAGCAGCAGCTGTGTGAACTACTAGTACAAAGTTGTTTGGATGAAACTACTTAGTAAGGAGAACTAAAAAGTATTTCTAGTGGCCTAGAGTTGCTATAAAATATTACCGACACACGAAGTATATTATGTACAGAGCAAGTCTGGGGACCTCTGAACTATGTCGTATCATCTGATAGCATAAGATGTTGTGAGTGTTAAACAAGGTCATGGATGTAGAGCCCTCAGCATCATGCCTGGCACAGAATAAGAACTAAAGGGTTGGTTACTTCATACTGCGAAGAGGCGTGTTTGCTGCCCTTGGTTCTTTGTGGCGAAAGGTACAGGTACTATATATGTTCATTTTAGCCCTGTTTCTTTTGTTTTACTCTTCATATTGCTTCTGTTTTTTTCTTCTCTCCAGGAACGACCTGACCACCAGGCAGTTTTTGTAAGTATGCTTTAGAAAAATTAAACTCCTTTCCCATCCCAAGATTCAGGGGTCTCTTTTCATCACAATGTTGATTTTCCTGCATCTCCCTCATACAAATTAAGGCCCAAAGAAGGGTACTTAGTTCTCATGTAAGCAGGGACTGCCAAGCGCACAAGGTGAATTTTTAATCATTTAGGAAGAAGCCACATTTATCCTTGTGTGCGCTGCTTCATCTCACATGGCAGAGTAAGGTGAAGGGGAACATTTTTAAATGTTGAAGTAATTTCAGCTTTGTTCTAAGACTAGGTTAAAAAAAGATGGAAAAGGAGAGAAAATATTTAAACTAATATTGTGCTATAGATAGTTTTCTTCTCTCCTTTTCTTCTTTCCTTTTCTTATTTCTTCTGACAAGTCTACATTGTCTTTCTAGTAAGATAGAACTAATCACCCAGAAACAGTTGATTTGATTTTCTGGATTGAAGGCAAGCAGGGGATGGGGTTGACAAGTTGGATTTAAATGATAAGTTGACTAAAATAACCCGGCTGATAGTGATATTCAGGTGCATTGCTTGATAATCTGCTTCGGAAGGCTTCTGATTTGGTTAGCACCTCACACCCGCTTTATTTTTTTTCCTAGAATATCCGTAGGTTTCATCCTGGAAAACAAAATAGTGAAACAAATCAAAGCAATTTAGTCATTTTCTAGAGCTAGCAATGTTGAGTTGTTAGGAAAGTCATGATGTATTTTTCTATGCAAAAAAGAAAGAAAAAGATGTTTAGACTGGTGGTCTCACATTTTTTGATCATACATACCATTGGCTTAAAAAATGTAAACATGTACCAACATATGTATATTTATGTATTTATAAATTATACATATGCTACTTTCTTACTATATTATGCATATTGTAAAAAATAACTACAGAATTTTAAAGGAGAGATAAAATGGAAACGGAAAGTCCTAGCGTTTTCCTCTGGCATCTCAGTAGATTGTCTTGCTTACCTCGGGGATGCATCACCACCCTGCTTTAGTGTCCACCAGTTGGATTGACCCAGAACAGTAATTCTCCTTGTGTCTTATCCAAGGTTAGAGAGAGAAAACTTACCAGGAATCAGAAGACTTGAAACTAGTCCTTGCTCTGTCACTAAAGAAAGAGTGACCTGGGACAATGTCACTGGGCAATATGAGTCTCTCTTTGACTATAAAATAAGAGTTGGACGAGCAATGATTTCCAACTGGGAGTACCTTTGTCACCTAGGGGACACACAAAAGTTGTGTGGGTATTTTACTGGACAGGCATCAAAGATACTAACTCTCCTGCAAAACATGGGATATAGCCACACATAGAGGATTTGTCCAGCCCCCAAAGCCAGTGCTGCCCCTGCGGCAAAACCTTGAAAGATATGCTCTAACTTCCTGTGATCACTCAGGGAATGGAAATCTCTACCATTCCTCCTTTCATTCTGCTCTGCACAACCTTCCTCAGGGCATTGGCTCATGAATGCTTAGAGAATAGCACTTTTCTCTCTCTCTGGTGCTTTTTTGCTAGTTGATTCCAACAAGCATTGGAATGCCCATTGCCACTAAAAGAGACCAACCTTGATTTGTAGGGTCAACTCTGTCATTATTAGCTACTGGTGAAGGTTATTTGAGAAGAGTCATGGCATTTTGGTGTTAAAGATTTGGTGCAGAGAGGCTAAGTGAACCTGGGTCTCCTGGTTCCTAGTCTGGTACTCTATTCACTGCACACCTCCTCTTGTCTGTACTTCTCTGGACTAGTTATAGGGCAACCTCTGGTTTTATTTCTGAAACCAAAGGCTCTGGATTTCTAGCAGTAGGAGAAAAAGGCAGTATATAAGGGAGTAAGGGTGAGGTTTGCAATCAGGGTCAGAGACGTAAGTTCAGAACCATTCAAGATGGTTTTATTACTAAAAGGTATTTAGTAATGAATAGTCCATTTTGCCCAGCCGTGATGGTGCAGGTGGCACATGCTGCTCCACGATACTGGAACCACTTGAGAAGCCTGGATTCAGATCCCAAGTTGACCTGAACACAGAGTATACTTGCATGCTCCCATGATCTTGACTGGCTGAGAGGC